GTATGAAGAGAGGCTGAGCGAGCTGGGCCTGTTTTCTCTGGAGAAGAGACGGCTCAGAGGGGATATGATTAATGTGTATAAGTTCAGGAAGGGAGAATGCAGGGAGGAAGGGAACAAGCTGTTCTCACTGGTGGCCAGCGATAGGACGAGGGGTAATGGCCATAAGCTGGAGCACAGGAGGTTCCTTCCCCAGGTGAAGAGGAACTTCTTCACTGTGAGGGTGCCAGAGCAGTGGAACAGGCTGCCCAGGGAGGTTGTGGAGTCTCCTTCTCTGGAGGTCTCCAAACCCACCTGGATGCCACCCTGTGCCACATGCTCTAGGTGTGCCTGCTTGAGCGGGAAGGTTGGACTAGATGATCCCTAGAGGTCCCTTCCAACCTTGAATATTCTGTGATTCTGTGATTCCTGCTTCCCAGCTTTGCTTTTTAGCAGGAAAGAGGAGCTCCAGGGGACTGAAAGGGACACAAGGTCTCCCTCTCCTGGCCTTAGACGTTTTTAAGACCTTAGAGGTTTCTGTGGTTCCCCACATCACCGTTTTATTCTCCTTTCCACTCCCCTCCCTCCCCACCCCTTGTGCTCTTAGCTCTGCCTCCCTGAATCAGTATGCAAAGATGCAGTATCCAAGCAGGGGGAAAATCCAAGAGCCGAATGCCTGCCCTTCAGTGGTGTTTTTTGGCACATCCTACTTAGAATCAGGCATTATAGGGTTAAAACTTTTAAACATTAAACATACAGAGACTTAGTGGTTAACCTTTGATTACTAGACAAGTATAAACATCCTCCAACACTTATCTGTGCCATCTTTTGTTGAAACTACTATCCCATCCAATCATAATTTATTATTCATTACGTTTCTCCAATCCACACACGTTAGCCACAATTCACTTTTTCCTTCAAAGCACTAAAATACTGACAGCACTTACTCAATTTGTTTCAAAACTTGTACCAGTTTTATCCTCACCTAGATTTCTTCTGCGCCTCCACTCCCAAGTTAGAGCACACCACTTGATCGGTGTTATTTCTGGCCTTGAACTGCTTCTTACCATGTTGAAGTGCTCTAGGAGAGCCCCTTGGAAGATACCCCATAAAGAGCTGTCTCAGCAGTTGCTCATATTCTTAATTTCATTTTCAGTCTTTTTCCAGGCCTTTAACTAAGACTGCTTAAGGTTATCTATCTAGTTTACATCTATGCCTTTGGACTTCCTTTTCCCTCACTTGCTTTCCATACTTTGCTAGATATTGCCTCATTTAAGAAATCTTTCTTAGATGTGGAGAACTTGGATTGCTGCAAAGCAAACGAAGGAAATAGATAATTGCAAGGCAAAGAGAATCTACTCCCTCATAAACTTCTCTCATCCACTTGGTCTCAGGACAACTCCCACCTGCAGCTCTGCTGCCCCCCAGCCAGCAGAGCCCATCCCAGCCTGTGTCCCCGTCCCAGAGCCACCACGGACACCAGGACCGTAACAAAGGCAGGTGTGTCAGCACCAGGCTCAGCAGTGGGATCCCCCCCCATCACTGCTGGTGCCTGGGCAGGATCCAGCACTCACACCCAGCACAACTGGATCTGCTTGCTCCATAGGCACTCACAGGTACTCCTCCATAGGCACGACTCTTCTGGTTTACTTCTCCCTGTGCATCTCCACCTGGCTCCACGCTCCTCCCTTCACTACAGCATGAACAGCCTGACTCCCTCCATCCCCTTCCAGACCCTTCTGCCCCATAGATGGGACTCTTGCCACACAACCTCACCAGTGTGGACAACAGAGGCAAGACTGCAGGATGAGGCACTCAGATCCATATTCTTCCAGTAGGATCTTTTAGCCCCTTGGTTGGTGGTTGGTTTCCTTAACTTTCCTTTTGCTGTTGCTTGTCATTATACAAGACCCTACACCTCACCTGTCAAGCGCAGCTAAGATTTGGTTTTGCAGTTCCATCCCTGCGCACTTGACCATCTTGAAGGTCTTTTCCAACCATAACAATTGGATGATTCTATGATGCAGCAACATCTCTATATTCCTCCCCAATAGCCCATCCCTGCTCCCACCCTCTGTGAACCTCCTTCTCTTACCCGAGCTCAGGTAGGAGGCCTCTTGGCCAAACCTCCTTTCTGCCTCCTTGAGTGCATCAAAACAGATGCTTCTTGTGATTGCAGGAATTTGTCCGGCTTGTTGAGGTACTTGCTCATGTTACATATTAGTCAAGGTTAAAAAAATACCAGTCTGGTTGAAAAACCTTTACTCACGTAACATATCACATCATGTCCCATCTTGCCCCTTTATATATAAAATACTGGTAAAATTCTTTTCTTCCAGAAGGAAGCTGGCTTCTGCAGTGTCCTCTTGTACGAGAACAGCTCATCCAATAGCTGGAGCACTTGCTGTTCCACACAAGTTGGAAGCAAAACAAGAGCTCTGCTGAAAGACACGTCGTCCTCAGTGAGGCAAGCGAGCTCTGTGGAGAGCCGCAGCAGCAACGCATGTGAAGTCCCCAGGGTCCCAGCTCTTCCTCTTTTCCCAGTGATCGGGATCCTGACCCTAGGCACGTCCTTCTGTGGCACCCCATAATGATGGGGGCTTGGAGGGTTTTACACTGACCGTCTGAGACAGCCCACAAGTCCTTTTGGGCTCAGCATCTAGTATAACTTTGCTTGAAATCACATGCTGTCAAGTGCAGTTATCTAAGTGGCTCCTTCAAGCCCTGCACCCCACCTTAAAACACAGCGAATAGCAAGGACACTTGGCTTACAGAGGAGAAAGAGCCTACGCAAGGACAAGGATGGTCTAAAAGGACAAAATAAATCAACAAAGAAGTGTCTACTAAAATGCTAAGTTAATCCCAAAAGAGAACTCCAGCCACGGTAATTTTTTGACACCTACTTCTAGCCAAGAAAGGAAAACAAATTAGCTGGAGTTCTACCTTAGATTGAGACAAAGCTTGATACATAAGTCACAACTGTGTTGTCAAATATCATCTTCTCGAGACTAAGCCATCAGGTTGTAAAATCCAAGTGGAATTGGATCAGCTTATCAGAAATAGGAAAAAGAAATTGCCAGGGATGCCTTGTAGGGAGCCCAACTGATCTCACAGATGATGATCATACAAGCGCATAATAGGCTAAAGGCCTAAGGTTTAGACCTTAAGGTAAATTTAGATTTAAGATTTAGATTAAAGACACAGCAAGACAGAAAAACTGTCCCTGCAAGATCTCCTCTTTTCCTTTAATTCCCTTCTCTCTCTGGCTAAACACAAAAATGTAAACTGAATTTTTAGCTGGTCTGCTGGGGTGTTTTGAGGAAGCCTAACCAACTGAGGAATATCCATTCAGAGCACAGAATGCTGCAAAAACACCAACCATTCACATGCACAAACAGGCAGTTGCAGCAGGCAGGAGCCACAAGAGCCTTCATGCCTTCCTCTCCTGAAAGGTCCAGGGCACTGAGGGCACCTTATTGAGGCACTGAGGGCACCTCAGCCTCCAGAGAGCCTTCCAACAACCGGTTCTCCTGGGTCCAAAACATCAAGTTGCCCAGTCTGTCAGAGTCTACCCAATTTCAGGCAGGCTCTTTTGGGCTTTTCATCTATGCAGCAGCACAGGGGTCAGCCAATACTTTACTCACACAGCTGTAAACAAACACCGCTCCTACCTGCTTTACCTGCCCATATTAACTGATGCTTCATTTTTTTATATTTAATACCATTCCTCCAAGTCTGCAGCAGGCTACATAACACTCAGAGCAAAGCCCATTGCATCAAAGAAAGATAAGATATGGAACTAACAATCTGTTACTAATTAAAAGACCTGCAACCGTTGCAGTCAGCAGGAATTCCCAGCAGAATGCCACGTCACCTGAACAGGACACAGCTGCACCTATTCCATATGGAAATGCTCCAGACTTGACACAGAACTGAAGGTGGGAAAGTATCTGAAGGCTGTTTGAAATGGATGATGCCCAAAATCTCCGGATCACCACTCTTAAGGGTCCCCACAATCTGCAGAGAAAAGGAGTAACATATTTAAACAAGTCATTTCTTAATTGTGAATATTTAAATACGAGCAGACAATTCCAGGAAACTCTCTTCCCCTGCCAACTCATTTTTAATGAAAGGTTCCTTGCCCTGGTCCTACTATTATTCTGAACGTAAAGAATAGCATGAAAGTCCATTTCAGATCTAAACAGAAATATCACAAGGCAGAATTTGAGCAAAGCAAGGACTTGCTCACTTCATCTAATCCACAAATACCAGCTGCAAAGCACAAAACCCCAACCAACCACCTCAGCAAATGCAAACAATCCGCACGATGGACAATGCACCGCAGGAACAACAATGTCGAAGTCTTTACGGTCTTTGCAGGTTGGATTTGATACAAGACGCAGTGGGGGTGACGAACCTCATCTGCACGTGGCTGGAGAAGGAGACGCAGCCCTTCCTAAGCGAAGGGTGAAACGGGAAGGGACTGCGGTTATAGGAGGCACCGTGAAACCGGCTAATAAGCAGAAGGAAACCCAGCATTCAGCTTCCACTGGGAAGCAGCAGGGCACAGAAAGGTACCAAAACCCACCTCAGATGAGAGGCTTTTCAGCCCAAACCAAGAAGAGTTGTGCTACATGGTTATACAAAAAAGCTAGCAGAGGTTGTTACTGTGCTTTCAAAGAGCCCTCCCTCCAAAAGCTTTCTCCTTCCCAGAAAAAGCCCATGTGGATGTGAATCCTTCACTTCTTGCCCCTTTTTGCACCCTAGCTCTACAAAAACGTGCCCACAGCACTGCGGAATGCTCACTGGTGGCTTCCTTTCTCTATGAAATACAGGGAGATCACATCTAGTTAGCCCAGGAAGGGCTCGCTACCTCTCCAACTGCCGCTGCTTCCTCTCCTCCCTATCCAAGGTCACTCATACTGTGCAATACAAGCTGGGCAAAATATTCACTTCTTCCTACTTAACCAGATGCTTAAACTTACAGTCAGGTAAGAACAGGAAAGGCTATGGATTTTCATAGGGTCGTATTCTCAGCTATAGAGGAATTTGTCCCCCTATGAGTTTTCCACATGAGATGTGAATTTGAGTGTGATTTGTAAACTCTGAAGCTCACAGGAAGGGCTCATCCAAAGTGGCGCTTAGAGGAAAGCAGGCAGGACGTTTTTGAGGACAGTCCATTTTGCTCCAAAAGACGATCTCCTCTGGCAACAGTTTAGCAGCTCATGTCAGATACTGCACCACAAGAAACATAATTACACAAGTCAAAATCATTCCCCCAATCATGAAGTATTTATCTTGAAAGGCTCGCTTCTCAATCAATCGCATCACTGTATTGGATAAGCCCAGCATGTTGGCAACATCCAGGATCTTCTTGTGCGTACCCTAAAAATAAATAAGAAGACAACAAAGAAACTGTTAAACTCAAGGTTCCACACTTCTCATTCCACCGTCTACGAAGGTTTTCCTATGGATGACCAGTGATGAATTCTGATCCCTTGGTAAACAACAGAGGTTGCCACCAGCCAGAGATTCCCATAATTTAGGGGGAGATGGCCACAGGACCCTAGAAATCAGCTGGGTGAGGAGACAAAGAATTCACCCATCTGGGCCGGAATGAGGTTAAGATATAAAACTTGCATCCAGGCAGTGTCATCATTTAGAGCAGTCCAGAGTAAACACACCTCCTGTGAAGGAACTAAGGGAGGGTTTTCTGGATCACTTTTAGACATAAATTTAAGAGCTTGAAGCACCCTGAACAACCTTTCTCACAAAAAATCCCTCCTGCTCAGTTCAAGCAGCAAGAAGTTGGAAGGGAGGTCCAGGAACTTGCAAGGACAGAGGTAGGGTGCAATGACAAGATATATTCACCATAATTAATGCAATTTCAAAAATCCTTCCTGACAATAAAAGCAATCAGACTGCAAGCAAATACACTGCGGGAAGGAATGTGTTGCGGTTGTTTCCTGCTGAAGTGGCTGGTATTAAAAATCTCTGGTATTGAGAATTGGACTCCACCAGTCAGCCACATCAGCAGAGAGAAACTCAGCTGTGGAACTAGATGTACCAGGAAACAGCCCAGGGGAACCTCACCGGTGCAGCCCTGCAGGAATGCTCCTACTTGCTCCTGCTTTAGGAGGAAGCTCAAAGGCAAGAAAAGGAGACTGTGGAAATGCAGGGACGTAGATACACTCTTAGCAGAGTGCAGGGCTGGTTATCATCCCATCTAGGCAGGGAGGGGACAACCTGTGGGCACACTGCTTCGCTCCAGAGTGACAAGGCTACAGGCAGGTGACTGAATTTATATCAAATAGTTTAGATACATGCACAAACAATTACTGATCACAACATGAACAGCATACAGATTTGCAACTCGCCAGAATATCAGTTTTTTGTGAACACATCAATACAGCTATTTACACTTTGCTGAAATCAGCTTAGTTTTTCAGCTGATAAATTGAGTTTTTCATCTTTATTTCACACACCTCGCATTAAACCCCTGGCTACTTCATTTTTTAAGTAATTTTCACACTACCTCATACCAAAACTCCTACGTTGTGCTTGAAGAGAAACCCATAGATTCTTGCTTCTACTGTTAGAGTTACAACAGAAAAAACGAAGAGTCTTCAATTCTTGCAGTTAGTGGGATAACACTAGAAGAGGTGACCTATGCAAGACGGGAGAAATCTGGGAATACTTGCTTTCCTATTTGTCCATATTTACACCCAAAATCCAAGTTAGGTAGTTTATCCCACTTCCAAATTAATTCTTTCAACTGTGGAATACGGTAGCTGCTGCAAGTTACTGCAGTTTAACTAGAAGAACCGAGGACTACTAACTACAACAGACAAGCATACTGCTTCAAAATCTCTTTGAAGCAGTAGGTCCTACAAGTGTTCCTTTATCATATTTGGCAACTATGATTAAGTTCTCCCGACCTGTCCTCCTTAAGAACCCTCAAAACCCAAGGGAATCTGTCAGTCATCAAAGACTAACTTGAATCAGTAACTTATATCTTGTAGAATCCTCAACCTCGTGTTCTCATATGAAGCAGGGGTGCAGTGGAGCGCCTGGATGACTGGGTGCCCCAAACTAATGTGGGTCAGGCACTAAGGACATCCAGTTGTAACACAGAGGATAAATGTTCTTCTCCCACCCTTCTCAAGGACATACTTCAGGGAAGCTGCTTTTTCCCAATGAGCATTCGCAACCCTGAGTCTTCTCCTGGCACCACCCATGAATTATGTCCCACCTGTCCTCCTACCTCTGCTTCAAGAGATGGTAGCAGAGCCTCTCCTTCTACCCACAGGCCCTATGGCTAGTGTACTCTGCCATGACATACTCTTAAATGATCATTTAGCTATGAAACTCCAGTTTCATAGCTGGTTTTCTCCCCAGTACAAGAGGGATGTGGAGCTGCTGGAGAGAGTCCAGTGCAGGGCTACCAGGATGATCAGAGGCCTGGATGAACATCTGCCATATGAGCAAAGGCTGAGAGAGCTGGGTCTGTTCAGCCTGGAGAAGAGGAGGCTGAGGGGGGACCTGATCAGCGGGTATAAATACCTCAAGGGAGGCAGTGAGGAGGAGGGGGCGGCCTCTTTTCAGTGGTGGACAGTGATAGGACTAGAGGAAATGGCTTCAAACTGAAGCATCGGAAGTTCCACAGGAACTTAAGGAAGCATTTCTTCACTGTGCGGGTGACAAAGCACTGGAACAGGCTGCCCAGAGAGGTTGTGGAGTCTCCTTCTTTGGAGATCTTTAAAACCCGCTTGGATGCAGCCCTGTGCCACGTGCTCTAGGTGACCCTGTGTGAGCAGGGGGGTTGGACTCGATGACCTCTGAGGTCCCTTCCAACCTTCGACATTCTATGATTCTATGATTCTATGAAACTAAGTCAATACATTTCTATTAAAAGTACTTCTCCTCACCTTGTATCTGAAACAAACCAAACCAAATCCTTAGGTGATTCCATGCAGCTTTAACCAAGAGGTTAAAATCATCTCAGAGGAAAGACTTGGGCTTTAACTCTGCTCTAAGGCATTACTGCAGTTCTTAGGGGCACAGAGACTGATCACCAATACAGGAAATTTCCCGCTGGTGAATTGGACATTAGAATTAGAATAAGTATGAAACAACTCCTCCCTGCGAAGATGCCCAGCTCCAGTCACTCCTAGGAAATAGGTACCTTAGGAGCTAAACCTTGCTCCAGGAAAAATCTTATACACTTCTAAGATCTGTCGAGTGTCTGTGATTCAGTTAAATGAATGTGGAATGGCTAGGCTCCCTTTATAGTCAACAGGTAGTTTAAGGTGTGATTTATCTGACTGTTCGCAATTAAATACCTATATCCTCTTGCAGGTACACCCTAACATAAAGCTGTGTCACAGAAGTAAATTTTTTGCCATTGTAAGATATGAAATTCCTCACACTTTTCATGGCTCCAAGCTTGCCCCACGTGTACCTTTCTTTCTAAAAAACTCTTCCTGTATCTTTGAGATACTTTCTCACAATTTAACAGCACACTGTACAGTCTTTAAATAGGTTTCATGTTTAGTTAAAATGGGGTCTGGGCATTTCTCAGCATTCTCAGTTTGAAGCAGCGCATTGAAACAAATTATATATTGATTTATTTTACTTAGTCTGGTCATTATAACCGTAGATATGTGGGGTCTCTTTGGTAAAAAATGATGCCCCACCTTTAGTGTCACTCTCTGGTCCCTCAGGCCCTGCAGGATGTTGGTCCCACTGCCAATAAGATCATCCATGCCACGATGGGCACTCTGCAGGGATTCATTAAACTGTAAAGTTTCGTCGATCGGTATGGTGGTGTCAGAGTCCTGTGGGGGAAATGCAGCGTGTTGGTTACCTTGCCTGGCACTCATCCTGCCCATCCACAGCTACATTCAGAAAGAGAACATGCAGAAATAAACGTAGCAGAAACCTGACAGGACTCGAGTGACTGCAACTTAAAACATTTTTAGTAGGAATATTAGAGACATCATTAACTTCTGAGTGAAAGAAAGAAGTGGCTTAAAAAGAAGCCTGCAGGAGGCAAGCCTAAAGGTAGAGGTTTTTAAAAAGTTATCAGCTGTTTGATTTCTATTAGATCTCAAAGGATAAAAGCCAGATTAAAAGTTGAGAAATAATCTCATTTTATGGCACATAGTAGGAAAGGGAATCCCAAAAGAGAATCATTTGCCAAAACTAACAGAAAAGGTTTAATAAAGACAGTCATTGCAAGTGAAAGATTTGTGAAAGATTTGATAATATATGTTTTTAAGTAAGTGGAAGAAGACCTACAAAACAGTATCTGGAGCTTTGATTGTAGAAACTTGTATTTGCAATGGTATACATTTCTGATAATTCAGATGTCTGTCTACTGTCACCAAATTCTCTGCAGATCTGATTCGCTCACCACTTTATAAATGAATTTTTTAAAAATGCACTCGTTCAACTAGAAACTATAAATCTTGAAATAGAAATAACTGGATAAAACTCTACAACCCGGCTTACACAGAAAGTCAGAGGATGGCATCAGTTTTGCCTCTGAAAGGCTTTCACTTTATAATCTTCTCCAGACACCATTCCATCCAAACAGTCAGGATGAGAGTCAGTGGATCATGGCAAACTCCTATACCATTTTATGAACAGGAACCATGAAGAGAATTAGTAAGAGGTAAGCCTAGAAACACCAGCTTACTTGTTTCCATAAACTCAGAACCGCAAGGGGGACTAAAAAGCAGAATTTGTGCTTAGGACACAAGTAGATTAATATCCTAGCTTTGTCAGCTGGAGTTTACACTTGTTAAAAAACTTGCCCAAAGTAGCCTGGGATGATTATTGCAGAAAACGCTAATATTGCAGAAAACGCTAAGAACACTTTGAATATGTTTAAACACTTCCAAAATAGTGCTAGGCGTTTGTCCAACTGCCCAGGCTTCGCAGGCGTTCTGCTTGCTGACGGTGAAGGAATGAAGAATAAAGGGACAGGGCGGGTTGCAGTTCTGAGGTCAAAGTCACTGAATGAAGAAGGTCCCTGACAGTGTCAGGAAGTCCTGGATCAAGTGTTAATGAAGCACAGAGGTTGGAAGAAGTGTCTACACTTCTTAAATGAGTCTGCAGATTGGAATCACTTTGATTTTGCAACAGAAAGCTTATTTCAAATATTCACTGCACTTTACAACAGAAGGAATTTCATCCCTCTACAAAGAGTATGTGGATCTTTTGATACACCATAAGCTAGCAGGAAAAATGTCACAGTAAGTTTTTGTGCTTTTCAACGAGACCCTAGATGGACTGCGTGTTTTTTGTTTCCTGTTAGTGGTTTACTCAAGAATGGTACAAAGGAAGTTTTAAAGACCACACTTATCTTTGAAATAAGCAAAAAGTTCAGAACTCTTTAGAGCCTTCAAGAGCTGCTGCTGATATTTATTCAGGCCACTTACATACTCAGCTAAAATTGCTATCTAAAAGAGTATGGTAGCACATATCGTAGGCCAATGACTGAAAAGTTGTATCATTATTTTGGTATTAAGAGGCCTTTCTACTTTTGGAGTCCCGCTTCTGTAACAATGAATTAAAATAAATAAAAACTTGCACAGTTTCTTTCATTTTGAGATAGTTTTCAACATCTATCAGAAAATCTAAAGGAGAAAAACTGTATTTATAATTGGACAAATATAAGCTCCCTGGCATCCACTGACATCAAGACATGATGTCATGATGCACATGATGATGATGAAAATACTTTACAAACCTTTTTAGAGATTCCAGGATTTGATATAGACATTTGATGCAAATTCCAGGAAAATGTATACTTTGGTACCTACCTTATTCACCCTTCTGGAACTTCTCTAAGAAATCAGATACAGCTGCTTCGGATAAAACAAGAGCAGCAACTTTTGGAACAACTGCCTGTCTTCCTCTACTGCCTACTAATAACCCACCTTTTCCTCAGGAAATGGTTATGTTTTTTCAAAATATATCATTCTTTTCTACACTTTTTCCATTTACATCATCACACAGTAGGATTCTAATGAAATCAAGCTTAAACTTTGCCTGAAATTTCTCTAGAAGACTGTGTTCTCTAGAACAGGTAGAGGAGGAGGATAAAGAACAAAAGAATATTTACATTAGTAGTGAAGGTCCGTGCGAGCAGCTCCTCTCGCTGCCGCTCTTGCTGCTCACGGATGTAACGACGATGCTGGAAGTTCCTCAGGGCTGTCTGCAGATGCTGAACATCGTATTTCAGCTGGTCAACTCGGCTAGACAGAATCAACAACAGCAAGATATTCCCGGAGATAAAGAAACCAAACTTTTCTCATGTTTTGTGTGCAAGCAATGGAAAGTTATAAATTAAAAGCCATGGATATTAAGAACGATGGGGTTTATTTATATAAAGATAAATAAAAAGATAAAGGACATTCAGTGTTAGGTGTTATAAGCCTATAATCCAGCGTTATAAGCCTATAATTTAGGCTTAGATCTTCCATTTTAACAGGACAGGTGACTATTTAACCACAATATAAGGACATACTGCAAAGGAGAATTCTTGAATTGTCTTACACATGGCTCTTCTGTGACTAGTCTCTGCAGAAGGATTGTAAATATATTCCTCATTTAACATAGACTTGGAAAGACAGAAGGATTTGAATAGTTTATATTTCATGATCTATATTCACACAAAAGATTAACCTTTCAAATTAATTAATTCCTAAGTTTCAGTTTTTAGAGAAGTCCAAAAGCCAGTGGGCAATACTGGAGATATCTCCACTGCACTAACATGAATTATATCCAGAACTCCTTTGCTTCTGACTAAATGCTCATTGACCATACAGAAGCCTATATAACTAGCACAGGTACTGATCTCCTCAGGACAGCCGACGTGGTATCCACCTCTGGCATCTACCAAGGCATTCTAGAACTAAATACTAATACTACAAGAACAGAATAATTCAGATTAGAAGGGGCAGTGCCTAGTCTCCTGTTTCCTGCTCACAGTACTGCTAAGGAAAGCTACTTATTTTATTCACCAACAGTGTGGCAGAGAAAATGACACCACTGAAGTAACTTTACTCCGTACCTCCATAAATGTCATTAAAAGTTAATGTGTAAAGAGTGAGACTTGTTTTAAGCATCGTGAGCCTGGTTTCACACATCTCAGAACACAGCCATGAGTTTAGCCCCATCATCAATCTGTGTTAAATGCAGCAAAGTTATTTTGCCTCTGTACCTTGATCCTATTTTTAGAAAGCACAGGGGTAAGTTATGTAAAAGTAAAGGCTTCATTAAATGTAAAGGTAATGGTAACGTAAAATGGTAATGTAAATGTAAAGGTAAAGGCTTCATTAATATGGAAAAGCAAAGACTTCTATATGTTTTACTGAAAACAATTACGAAGACTATAACATTATCTTAGCAGTGAAGTGAACTTACAGTTTAGCATTCTGTCGCTTATTGGGAGGCTCTTTGCTGGACAGGATTTCCAGACGTTCCAAGTTGCTAAATATATTGTCTATTCTTGCCTGTATCTCATTTTCTACTACTGCAAGGAAAGAAAAATGTGCTTTAGTTTGAATTAAAGAACTGCAATTTAGGGAACGCAACAGGTCCAAAACTTTTCAAAACAGTTTTTAAAGCCTTACAGACACAAATCCTTAGTAGGTGAAAAGAGCAGAACTGAGAATTATGAAGAACATAAAAAAATCTACTTCTCTAAGTGAAAAATTAGGATTTGACTATAGGATTTGAAGTCCTCAGATTCTCCTCTGCAGTCCCCTGATGCTTTGACAGGACTTGCCCATACAAGCTAATATCCAATTCTCACAGCAATAGCAATTTAAATCTCTAAATATCCTAATACAGAGTTGTTATATACCTCATCTCTTCCTAAAGCAAGAGAGATTAACAGACAATGGGAAGAATTAAGAGTTGACAGAAACAGGTGGACTGGATAAAACCCTCAAAAAGCAGGGCCAAATTATGGCCGAGGAGCTGCTGTGAGTGGAAAACAAGGCTAAACTATTGCCTCTCTAATCATCTAATTCATAATTGCTTCTGCTATCTATGTAACAGCAGCAGAGGAACAAGATGTAAAATGCTAAGCCTTATATGTATTTTAATGGGGTGGGAAGCAGATAAAATTCGTGCAGAGCCTTGCTATGCAATTACAGTCTTGCTGTGCAATCATCAAAGCGACTGAAAGGACACGAAAAAATGGGTACAAACCATAACCATCTTCTTCCTTTAACAATTACATTTCCTAATCATGTCACCACCCAACATTCTGCAACTTAAAGAACTGCATGGAAGGATAAAAGACTGGATCACTTTTAGTCATCTGACATCCTCGGGGTGTTCAAAGACAGCAGGCTCTGCTTTTGAAGGTGGGCATCCTCTGGGGCAGGTCCACAGACTTCTTAATACAGGACACAGAAGCACCAGCATATCTGTGCAGCCCTGAGGACAATCCTAAAGTGATGCACATCTGTGTGTGCCAGTCAGACCTCCTATAAATAATTACCAAATCCTACACTCTTTGGTCTCCAGAGAGGTATACGGAAAAGCATCATTAACAAACAGCTAATTACTACTCCTCAGTATTTCAGGACTTTAAAGAAGTCCTTCAGTCCGCCTTTGGCAAAGTTGAAGTTCTTATTTTGCCCTTGACTCTCACACAATCAGGCAACAACCATCTCCCAAACACAAACACATATCAACCAAGTTATCCCAATTCACCTCTCCATCATTCAGTCCAACTAAAAGAAAAGCAAACAGGAGGGGAGACAGATAAATTACAAGAGTTTTTGCTTGTCTAAATAATAATATCAATACAAGATGTTGAAAGAACTGCAGAATAACAGGACAGATATAGAGTGAAATTTCTCAGTCTGTTTCTGAGCTTCTAACAGTCTGGTGACCTCCTGGATTATCACACTTATCTGTGTGTTGACTGTACTTTGTTCTCTCCTCCACTCAGTCCTACAAAACTACTATCTTATTCAAGTCAAACCGTTTTAATGCATTCAAATGAAACAATTTGAATGATTCTCAAACCTGTGATGTCTCTCACCAGCTAATCATATGGAATGAGAAGCCAAACTCATCACACTAATGAGAGTAAATGGAATTATAAACCATAGAAGGTTAAAGATGTGTATAAAATCAAGTGAGTAGCGTGAAACTTTTCTCTTTAATTAGCTACTTACAGTGCACTGATTGTTTGTCTGATGTCTCCAGACGCCCCATGTGAGATTGGACCTCATGGACCTGTCTATCAAATAAAGAGGAAAGAAACAGAAGTCACTGAACATCTGTTAAATCAAAACAAATCATTTTCAGTATCTCCTCAATTTTTACCTTCTCTTACAGAAAGTACTTTCCAGAACAGACTAAGAATCAGCTTCATGGTATTCAGTACAAACATACTGTCCATCATTAAAACAATAAGAAGCATGTTATACCATAAGAACCATAAAAACCAAAAGCTGTGCTTTCATTTAATATGTACTGTTCAAACAACTCGGAGTTTAAAAAGACAAGAGTGTAAAAATCAAAATAAAGGTAAGATTTCCATTCAAATTCTACCTCTCTTTTCAGAGCCATAACCTCAAGCAAGACACAATTTGATACATCAAACATCTGGCATGCCACAAGCCTTCCGAAATCCGTTTACTCCAAGACATTCTTGGCAGGGACTCGCAAGCGCTGAGTATAGCACACGAAAGATATGCCTGGAACACAGGTTTGTACAAGAGGAACCTTAACAAATTTGCGCTGGAACACTGCCTACAAGCACCACTAAACCGCAGAGGGGGCAAATGATACCACATCTTGGATATTAGACACAGCTTCTGCCCTTCCCTCTCAAAAAGAACACAGAAAAATTGGAAAAGGTTCAGAAAAGGACTGTAAAAATAATTTTTAGTCCACAGAGGAAATTATGGCATGGAAGAAGATGAATAAGGGATGAGTGTTTACCTGCTCTTCCTGTATAAGAACTACAGATGCACCAAATGAAATCAAGAGATGAAAATCTTAAAAGCAAAGAGAAGGCGGGAGATTTCTACAAAATATCTGTGTTACTTTTTCCTGGGCATCCAGTTAGGAACCAGGTTGCACAGACCTGCGGCCATACCTGAGGTGAAGCCTGACAGCAGCTGTGTTTCAGACTTTCAGAGACAAGCTCAAAAAGTTACAAAAGTCTCGCGGCATTTCTCCTAAAAAGATGGAGATCTTAGTCACGATCATATCAGTGGCTGCTCTCCTGCTGCGTGCACTGGCTACAGCTTTGGCAAAAAAGCTGAGGAGGTCAGGCCAGAAAAAAACACCTTATCTTACAAAGAAAGCACTAAAGCATTTATTCCCCTCAATTACAAGGGTTGGTTTTTTTTTTATTTTTTTTTTATTTTTTTTTTTATTTTTTTTTTATTAACTATCAGGAACACCTCCTAAATCATATAACTACTTGTAATAACTCCCAGCTCAAGCTGGTAAGTCTTTCCTGACAGGGTTTAATTGCAGTTCACTGGCGGTCACCAAAATCCATGGCCATAAAAACACACAACAAAAGCTGACGTGTCTTAATGCAGACACATGGGGCAAAAAAAGGGCACTTCTCTTCAGGGCAAACTACAGAATCTGCGGCTTTAAAGCACGGCAGAGAGCAGAGAGTTCTGCTCTCGCCGTGACGCGGCCAAGGGCCGAGCTGGGGCTCCGGCCGGTCGCAGGGCCGGCGTGGAGGACTCCGCTCCCGCTGCGACCGCAGCGAGGCCAGGCCCTGCAGCCGGAGCTGCCGCCGGAGCTCGGTGCTACCGGGCTCGGTGCTCCATCGCGCTCGTTACAGCCCCGCTCCGCCCCGCTCCCGCACGCAGCCGCCTCGGCCGCTCCCGCGCAGGGGGCCGCGGCTACCGGCTACCGGCTCCCGCCGCTCCCGCCGCTCCCGCCACGCACTTGTTGGTCTGCTGGTAAAGCCCCTCCATGGCGCCGGCGCGGCCCGGCCGCCC